AGGCTTAAGGGAGGCCTAGAATTCATAGTCTCCTGCTTTCTAGGCCAGCACCTGAATCACTACAGGTAGTCCTCACTTACTGACCACTCGTCCAGCGACCGTTTGAAGTTACAACAGCACTGAAAAAGGAGACTTATGACCAGCATTCAAAGTCATGGCTGTTGCAGATTCCCGCAGTCACATGACTGCGATTCAGGCACTTGGAAACCAATGCGCATTTATGACAGTTGTAACATCCTGCAGTCATGTGATCACCATTTGTGACCTTCACAGTTGGCTTCTGACAAGCAAAGTCAATGAGGAAGCTGGCAGGAAGTCGCAAGTTGTGGTCACATGACATCGCACTTAACAACCATGGGTGATTCGCTAATGGCTACAGCCGGAACTGTCATCCTAAATTGGGCGTGGTCATGTGACATTTCATTTTACGACCACGTTGCTTAGTAACAGTTGTCAGTCTCAACTGTGGTTGGTAAGTGAGGACTACCTGTACACCATACTGGCTCTTGGATAATCTTATCAGATGAATTACTTCAGCTACTTGCTTAGATGCTGGTGAGGAACAATTCTTTGTCTAATTAAAGGTTCAACGACAGGACAGGCTTAAGCGACTAATGGTTACCATGATCATTTCCTGTGCTGGTTTAACAAAGGCAGAGAACAATATAGATCAATGTTTCTCAACCTTGGTAGCTTTAAGGTGCATGGACTTCAACTCCCAGAATTCCCTAGCCAACATGCTGGCTGGGGAATTCTGGGAGTTGAAGTCCATGCATCTTAAAGCTGCCAAGGTTGAGAAACACTGATATAGATTCTTCACTGGTAGGTCCTTTCATGGCTCCTGTAGGGAAAAGTGAGGGTGGTCTGAGGAATGGAACTAGAAACTGGATGAGGGAGATGCTGGCTGAAAGTCCTATGATGCTCCCTACTTCAACACCCATTACAGCCACATCTTCCTCCAGAAACAGACGACACTTAGCTTTTCCCCTCAAATGAGCCCTCAGGAATAGTGATTTGAGAGCCCCCAGCTTCATTTTTGAACCTCTCAAGATCCTGGCCTTCAGCTGAATGACCAACTGCCAAATAATGACATCATTTCCAACTGAGTTTCAATATGAAATTAAAGAGATATCGGTGTGCTAAAAGCCTCCAAAAGGTCTCAGACATTATTATTGTTTAACCAAATCAGTCTCAATCCATTATTTTTAAATGAGCTCCACCTCCTCAGTGAGGTCATTGTGTCCCTGCCTTGCCAAATCTGGCTGCTGAAAAAGAATTTTAAAAAGTGTAGTCCAAATTTCACAATGTTTTCTGCTTTTGCTGTAGACACGAAATGGCTTCTTTACCTCATGGATGGGGAAGCTGGAGCAAGAACTATCAGGGGTTGCTAAACTACAATTCTCAGCAGACTTAGCCAGCATGCCTAAAAGTGAGGGATGCTAGAAATTATAACTCAGCAACATCTGGAGGACCTCCAGTTCCCCATCCCTTTGTGTGGCAGGGATCCGTTTCCTAGCTCACCTTACGCCAGTGTTTCTCAACCTTAGCAACTTTAAGATGAGTGGACCTCAACTCCCAGAATTCCCCTGGCTGGCTTGGGAATTTTTGGGGGTTGGGGTCCCCTCCTTTTAAAGTTTTTAAGGTGGAAAACACACGGCGGAGGGGG